CACTAATTTTTTCTAATGATTTGTATCCGTATTCACAAAACGATTATGCGCGGCGTTTTAATAAATGACATGTTTATGTATTTTATTCCTAACATAAATGTTTTATATACTTAGTTCATTTACATATTTAATCTTTGGTTTTAAGGTATGGTAGCTTGAGTTAAATATCGATAAAGATATAAAATATCGATATAAAAGTTACATCACTAGCGTTTCGTACAAGAGGCGACATGAAAGGGGAGCCGCGGGGCGAATGGCAGCACTTGTTTGTCCGATTTAATTTCATTTATCAGCGCATTACTTACTGCGAGTGAATTACTTACCAGGATTACTCGGCTTTCCCCGATCTCCCCTTGTAACATTTTTATATTTAAATCAACCGTGCATTTGTAATTTTAAACATTTGTATAAATAGGTTTTTTGATATATACATCTTAAATTAAAAATGTAGTAGGTAACAAAAAATGGAACCAAAATTACTTAGTTTATTGTTAACATTTTTTAGAGATAATATAGGTAAAATATAGTTAATCGAATAATAATCGAATAATAAAATGCTGCGAAGAGTGGGCATTTTCTACTAATAAATCGCACAACTGTTGTGTGGTTGTCTATTGTTTCGCAGCCAATTCAACTGTTTAGTTGCACAACTAAAAATCGAGTTGTGTGCGCACCTCCAAATAAGCTCATAGAAATCGAAGCAACACTAAACAGTTGTGCGATAGTTTAGTCAAAGTTGTGCATCTGCTTAGTATTACTTTTACCGCCAATAAATAAAAACTTCAATTCTATCGTCATAAGGTTGGATTTTGCATAAATCATCCAAATGCCTCATAACGGTAATAAAACCGTCTAGTTAACTCGCAAATATCGACATCTGTATTAATAATTTCGCTCCTAAACTGCAATAAAATGTCTCTAAAATTAAACTACTAATGTCCATGAATGTCATACGCATGAAGACATCAAATTTATTTCGCTTTAATGCACGCAAATCCTAATGCAAATGTAGTCAAAACAAATTTAACGCGCCCCCAACACATGCCGAGAGGGTGTGCATGTATTTGAACTATTAAACTTTTATGTTCCTTGCACATTTTAATATGAATTAAAAAAAACGAAATGTTCAAGTGTAGTTAGCTGTCTAAATTACTACGCACTATTATTACGCTATTTGTATTATTTTGTAGGTATTATATATCTATACTAACGTTATGAAGAGGAAAGATTTGTATTTTTGTATGTATTGTAACTCAAAAACTACTGGACCGATTTCAAAGATTCTTTCACCAAAAAAGGCTACGTTATCAATGAGTAAAATAGGGTGTATTTTTTAATTTTAAGAAGACGAAGTCGCGAGCAACAGCTAGTATGATATAAATGATGACAACATTTGCTCTAAGAAAAGGACATGTCCGCTTTCCAAACGTATTAAAATAAAATCTAAAATTAACATACCTCACACACTTAAAATGCCACAACAATTTCGACGTGTGACCGATTTAGCCCGACCCTCCTTCTAAGAACCAAACTCGAAGCTAATGAGAAGTTTGAAGATCAAGTTAATCTGGACGTTTTAGCCTTGAATTGTAGTGAGCGACATCGGCCCAGTAATGGGAAAGCATATTTCACCTCGTTAAAGGCGCCGAAATTGTGGATCGTTTATTTAACAGAAATTAAGAACGAAAACATTTTAAATGCGCTATAAATTTCTATCGGCTGGAGAGGAAGTGTTGCCACTTGCGTCTTAATTTCCCCAAATAAGATTTTGCTGGTGTTTAACTATTTGTAGAGATCAAGGTAGCATTGTGTTTATTAACTGTAGTTTTTCTTTTGTCAATAAAACTACGCTAACATTTGTGAATTATAGACTAACATAGAATCCAAATTCAGCTTTATAGGTAAACTATGAAATAGTCTTGTACTGATAGCGTAAATTTCTTTACATTTATTGTGCTATTAATTTTTTTTTTTAGAAATTACTAACATCTTTCCCCGAATCCTTGGGATTTTCCCCAAATTTGTCGAATAACCCCCCGACTGGTAACCCCGACGTGCGTAGGCGCCACACGTAAGCTTCTATTACCGTAGTGCGTCGGAGTCGGTCTGTGTACGACATAAATCATTGGCGCCGCCCAGAGATTCAAAAATATATAGAATAGACAGTTGACACTTCACTTGAAGCATTTTTGACATCTCTCTAGCTCTACCTGATGTCTGATAGTCAAAATCATAAATAAGCAAATAATTCGTACAATGAGAAGCGTTTCCGCGTGTCTAATTTTATATTGCTATTTAATCGAACAAAGAAGTTACAGGTGAAAAAATGTTGATCCCTATGTCTAGTTTATATATTTCTTAAATGTCTGGCGCCGACACAGCTTGATACTATCGACTTGCATCGCGGTTTAAAAAAAAAGCATGTAATCTATGTTTTCTTCCAGACTATCCTCTACTTCTATGCCAAATCTCATCGAGATCCGTCCAGCCATTTAGCCATTTAGGCTAACAACGACATCCATCCAAACTTTCAATTTTATAATATTAGTAACATCTGTACTTTTACATAAGGCTCTAATATAAAACCATAGTCAAATTTTATATTTACAATGTCTATTTGTGCTATAATATTTAGTGTGAGGCGAGTTACAACTTTCAGTAATAAAAAAAACAAAAAAAAACAAGGCGCCATAAGAGAATGCAGAATATGCGACGTCCGAATGGTCACTCAAGCATTAAACCACGAAATTTGAGTATTTTACGATTACTACAGAGCATTTTGAACCTTAATATATTAGAATAAAGAAGTGGCAGTTACATTTATAATTTGTTAGGAGAGTGAAACGTGTGATAAAGAGACCTCCTTGCGCTGGACGGGTTATGATAAGACTATCTTAAATATTTGTTGCCTGAGACCCGGATTCTTCTCTAATCGTTTTACGATACAGCGAAAAGGTTAGATGTTTGGTAGGGGAGAGTTCCCGTAGGATAAAGGTATTTAGTTATGACTCATTAGGTTGGAATTATTGTGTATTTACGAACTGACCGAGCATATTCTATGGTGAACCGTGGTATGGACATGTTATATGACGAGGGGATGGGAACATAAACCAGAAAATTTTAAGAATGTGGATGGCTACAGAGGTAGAGGAAGACCGAAGAAATTACAGATAGACTGTGTGAAAGAGGATATGCTTAAGAATGGAGTGGATTCAGATATGACGGCTGATAGAAATGTATGGAAGAACAGCCCATACTGTGCCGACCCTCTGTAGGGATAAGGGTAAGATGATGAACGAAGTGTCCGAGCAGTTACCAATTAGTCGATGTTTTAAAGAGCAGAGAATGGAGATCAAGTTTATATAAATCTCTGAAAGTTTAATTCCAAATCTTAACTCAAGAACAAACGAAGGGAAATGTATCTACGGCAGGATTTTTGTAATAATTCCCTTTTATCATTGTCCACAGAGTAGCTACCGTTTGGATTGATAGTCTTGTTCTGACAACAATAAATATATCTTACTAACATTATAAATGTAAAAGTTAAGATGGATGTTTATTAGAGTTTGACGCATAAACTGATGAACGGATCTCGATGAAATTTGGCATAGATGTAGAGCATAGTCTGGAAGAACACGTAAGCTACTTACTTTTTTACATTAATTCCACTTCGGACTCGCGGGCGATAGCTTGTTAAAAGAATAAATTTTGTATCTTATATAGACATAGTTTTTGACACATAGTTTTTTTTTGGAGATTGGTGATGGAAACAATGAATTTGTAACAGATGATGTCACGTTGGCAATCTGGATATTGATTCACTTTTAAATTTTCCAACTGTTACTAGACATTGATCGCTAAATTCTGCTTTTTACTAATATTATAAATGCGTAAGTTTGGATGAATTGATGTTAGGAGGTATGTCAAGAACGGCGTTAATGTTCTCAATGTTGCGAAATTTTTTCTTTGACGACGAAGTCGCGGACAAAAGCTAGTAATGAAATAAATTAGCACAGTCTAGTCTCTATTGTTTCGTTGTTCTGTGCACGCTGAGTAACACTATCAAATATTTATACAAGTCGTAATTGGATCCGGTGTAGAAGGCGCAGGGGTATTGAGGGCGGGGAGCATCTGCTAAGATGACGTAAATCTTTGCAGATTGGTACCTAATGTACTGAAATGTATACTGTAGGTACCTAAACTAAAGTAAATATGTCACAGATGTACTGCTGACTCACAGATGTTTAAAAAAAACGAAACCTATCACCAAAATATGTCTATACTGGTTGACAATAGATGGCGCTAGTAGATTGTTAACCCACAAATTCGTTATGAATCAGCCATTAATTGATAAAGTCTCAGAACTATAGTTTACAATTTCAAAACTTTAATGTCCACTTAGATATAAAAATATTGTTGGTGCCAAGGGGTGTCATCCCCTAGCGGTAATACAGAAACAACAAGCTTCTGTTATTGTTTGTTTTTAATTCGGATTTGAACGACCACCGCCGGCCATTGAAATTCAACTCGTTAACTTTACAACGATAGACTTTATAATAATCTACAAAGAAGTAAAATATAATGAATTTTTTATAACACTTGTCATAGACTTCCTTTATGTCGTTTGTGTTTGTTCATTGAACGTATTAATATAATTAGAGACTAGTATAACTAAGATATTAAACGACTTATGACCGGTTTCCCAGATAGTTTTACCATTCGTCAGTGTTATTGGTTCTTCGTAAACCGTAACCCGAGTTTTACTCCGTTGAAACATAGATCAAATTAACGCTAATGACAAAATAAGTGAAAACCTCAAAATCCCAGCATTAATAGAAAACTATAAAGGTTGTCGATAATATTGCCAAATCTAAATACACATTAAACCGCTCTTAATTGATGTCTATAATTTAATGGATCCACAGTTTTCAATAGCAATTGAAAAAATTGACGATCAAAACACATCAATGTTCAAATATTTATTATTTATATTGTTTCAGTTACCTATGTATGAGCGGGTGCTTCGCCCGAGCAGAGGTGGCCGGTGAGGCGCGTCAAAGCGTGCAGACTCTACTCACTATCTGCGCTGATCTCTGCCAGCCCTCTGCCACTGATACCGTAAGTATAGAACACGATCGACCTGCCGATGATCTAGTGAGTGGGGGGCAGATAATGCGTCCTCCGTTGATTAAGGTAACCCACCCGCTATTGCTGTCTATGGGCAGTCGTTTCGAAATTTTGGCGGATCCAGGTGTCCGCTTGTTTGCCACCTGATAATATAAAAAAAAACTGCCAGGGTTGCGAGCGCGCTATGGCGAAGCAGTCGCTCCGTCAGGCGCTGGGCACAGGGCTGTGCGGCTCTCGTGCGGAGTTTTGTATGCTGTTCGCGGAGGGTGCGGACTTGGGGCACTGCAGTATCTTCGTGCGGGCCGCCAGGACGGCGCACCTGCTGCGAGCTATCGCAGAACTGGATTATACTATTGTACAGGTTAGTTGTATGTCAAAAAATAATTTTGGATTCCCATAAGAACTTTACCTTTACTAGCTTTTTGACTTCTTAGTCTATGTGTTCTTTCAGATTGCCCTCTATGCAAAATTTTATCGAGATCTTTTCAGCAGTTCATCCGTTCAACATCCTAACTTTATTTATCTATACTCTATACTAATATTATAAAGAGGAAAGATTTGTATTTTTGTACGTATTGAATTAACTCAAAAACTACAGGGTCAATTTCAAAAAGTCTTTCACCATTCAAAATATACATTGTCAGTAACATAGGCTATATTTTTACCGTGAGCAACAGCTAGTAACATTAGTAAAAATCTTGTCTTTTGACTACATGTCACATGCAGTTGGTTATTTGTACAGTTTTCCCAAGTTGGATCGAGTATTCGAGGCGCATCTCTCTGTTTGCTCCGCCCTCTTAATTAACTGGAGCATCGTTACGGCGTGTTTGTGTGGGGTCAACACGATGAATGACAGCATACGAAAGAGAATAAACTTGATACATTCGTTGTTTGGTCAAAAAGACTCCATTTTCTAAGGTTGTCTCGTATCTAGCTTTCAAATTTATAAAATTGATAGTATTTCTAAAGCTTGTCCATTTTTAAGGGAAGAACAAGTTATTTGTTATTTGAAATAAAAATCTTTAGAGGTAATTAAATTAAAAAATGATTCAGTTATTGGTTACTAAGAGAATTCCTAAAGGTAAATCATGTGGATTGTCACTAGAGATCTATTAAACAACTTTGAATGTGCCAATAGTAGGAAATAACAGACAAATCTAATTTAATGTAGATAGTTAAAAATTACCACATCCGTTATTTATTAATTGATGTTATGCAATGGTATAATGTCGTCTCCAGAGATGTCTGTTTGTCCATCCTCGTAATGATGTTAGCTTTGCGTACAGTGGGGGCGCTTTGTATGGCTTATAGCTACTTGTCAAGATATTTTACGCTATCGTCATACAATACAGTTGGTAGATAAAGGCTGATGATGATGATGATGGTGGTGGTGGTGGTGGTGGTGATGATAATGATGATATAGAAATGTTTGGATAAAACCTATAATTTTGCTCCTGTCTAAGTCCGTGCGGAGTAAAATCTACTAATAAATATAGCCTATGTTACTCAGTGATAATGTTACTTTCTAATGGTGAAAGATTTTTTAATTTGACCCAGTAGTTTTTGAGTTTATTCGTTACATATAAAAATAAGTTCCTTTTTTAGTAACATTAATAAAGATTGACCGTAAAAATGACACATCATAACAAGACAGCTACAGTCGGATATGTTACATTTTTTGTTACTAATAAGAGCTTTAGCACTTATCTTTGTATTTTACCATCGTGTCAGTCTGTCTCACTATACTCTTTGACTACTTGAAGTTGATGTGTACATTACTCTATGGTAGGCGAGGTATCTCTTACATAGAGTACACAAGGGCGCCAGTGTCCGATGTCTGAGGTAAATCAACATTTATTCGCTGAAGTTAAGACAGACGCCATGCGACTCGCGTTACAACTAAAGATTTTAGTTTGTACTTGTTACACACGACTCCGCCCGCGTATAATTAAAAAATATAGCCTATGTTACTCACTGATATTGTAGCTTTTTAATGGTGAAAGAATTTGAGAAATTGACCCAGTAGTTTTTGAGTTATTTCAATACATACCAAAATACAAATCTTTCCTCTTTGTAATATCAGTACAGATGGATGATTTTAACGATTTTCTGAATTCTAGAAGAATAATATTTGCTAGGTATTAAGGCAATCACCAAAAAGGTCCACAAATTGCACATCCCCTAATTAACTTGTCCCTCTAAATTCATTTTACCTTTTTTAATCTTATGCCAACATTTGAGCCAATCATTTGGCCGTTTGAAGTTCATCGGTCAGGACTCGGTACTGACAAAGCTACTTCCAGTTTTAAATCGCTACCGTAGGCTAAAGTCAATTTATTACAGCTGTTAATAGTGATGTTGCGTTTCGGAAAGTATCCTTAATTTTATATCGATAGATTGAATTTATCACATTCGAGATCGGATTAAATTTGGTTAAAAATCTTTTAAAAAGACTGTTACTCTAATTTTGTGCGTCTAGAAATATCTAAAAGAATACGCGTTATTTATTACAAGAAAAATGCATTTGAAGCGTACTTTCAAGTCAATTCAACTAAACTTTGTTTTTTTGTTTATTAAGTATTTACTATTTTATTTGCCCTTAATTTTGTATTTCATAATTTACGATGTTTATCATTGCATTTTCATCAAAAGGATATTTTAAAGTATCGATATACTGGGATCGATATATGGGACATATCCCATCACTATCGTACCACCGCACACAGTGTTTGCTCTCTCCGCAAATATATTACGAGGTCTGTTTGCTCGGCCGCCGGACTGACATCGGGCTTCTGTACATTTTGGATATGGTCTGCACATTTATTGTACTTGTACAAGTCATTGATTAGATATTAGATATTTTAGTATTTGGTATGAATATAGCTCTATAGAATTCCCGATTAATTGTCTCTTTGGCCATTGAAGGAGAGATTTTGTATAAGAAATTTACACTAAGAAATAAATTTCGAATACGGCAGTTTAAAATCATAGTGACTAAATTTGTAGATGGTCTTTGGTAATTTATTTTTGATGCAGTGCAACACGTTGCATGTTACCTTCATTAGCTAGCTTCATTCCAGTCTTATTCGATAATAATGTTATAAAGCGGAAAGATTTGGATTTTTGTATGTATTCGATACCCTTAATAATTACTAGGCCGATTTTAAAAATTCTTTCACCATCTGTGAGTAAAATAGAATATGTTTTTTTTTTAAATTGCACTTTCGTCTTAAGAAACTACCAATGAATGGGTATTAGAAGGTATGGGTAGAAGAATTTCAAATTAGTTAACTTGCAGTGTTGTTCTTATTGAATAATCGCTTCCAAGTAGGTTCTTCAAAACAAATTTACGTACCGTAAAATTAAACCCAAACAGACTAATCAATTTAAAAAGCAAAACTTGCAATGCGCGTAAAATTTCTACACAAACATTGAAGTACAAATAGAGGGTCGAACGCAAGAAATCCCCAGACACTCGAACGTCAGAGCAAACTGCGCAAGAGTTGGCAAACGTAATGACAAACACAGAGTAATACTGTGCACACAGAGCCGACATCCTGCAAATATATAGTTATCTGCAAGAGAAATGCGGAGACACGTGTTTGAGCCACCCTCTGCTTCAGATCGTTTACAATTATAGTTGTATAGAGTTATTTCGATTACTGTTTTAAATTAGATGGATGGATCTTTCTATTGTAAATGTTAATATTCAATGCTCAAATGAATACAAAGGCCTATCGCTATTGAAGAATTTAATTGTAGCTTTGTCCAAAATCCACCTAAGTTTAATAACGTAGATGTGATTGATGACGTCAAATCTTACTATCTTCCTAATATTATAAATGCGAAAGTTAAGATGGATGGATATTTATTAGAGTTTGTAGCCTAAACGGAACGTATCTCGATGAAATTTGGCATAGATATAGATGAAAGTCTTTTGTTTGAAACACTTTTGTTTGTTTTTAATTCCATGCGGACGGAGTGGCGGGCGAAAGCTAGTATATTAATAAGTGTGTTTAAGTTAGTTATAGCTTATCATATTTCAATACTTAATTGTAAAAAGGGCGGAGTATTCTTAACTAAAGCAACAAACAAAACATTTGAACACAACGGAGTAACTAAACCCCAAGAGGTTTCCCCGACGTACTTTGATGTCTGTATTCGGGTTTATAGCATGAATAATGGCGCACCCATGGGGCCCGTGTTTGCAGCCCTAGTAATAGATAATAAACACAATTATAAGTTTATTAGCCGACACCGCAGATGCGCCTGCCCATACCCCAGGGTAATGCGGTTGCAGCATGATTGATGGTTATGCTGTTTTTGTTCCCAAAGCTTGTTAATAAGTTTATGCGTTTATCATTATTGTGATGTAAAAACCATATCACCAAATTTGACATAAATTTGACATCAGTTTTAGCTGCATAGTGTGGTCCTGCGAGATCGATTAAAGAGTGAATCGATACGTACTTGAATGTTATTTAAATTGAATACCTTCGTGTCGAAAATTCGATGTTTTTCGAATTACTCTGTTCTTATGGACTTTTTATCTTCTTCTTCTATATCTATAGGGTAAACACACACTACTTTGTGGCGTAAGATGTCAGCAATCACAGCATATTTTTGAATAATTCTTTCTTTAATAAAAAGCTCTACACTTACGACACGCTTTAGGCTATATATTTTCACGCTATTAAATTTAGGGCTATATAAATTGGAAAAAACCTTAATGTGGGAAAAAGACTATAAACTACAAGCTGCCAACATTAAGGAAGCAAGAATGCCATAGCACGGTAATTGGTATTATGACATTTGCAATTGTGAATTTGACAAATGTATATAATAAAATAAAGTTTCTATAAGTTCATGCGGATGAAGTCGAAAGGGAATAGCTAATAACTGAGTATAGATAATTAGCGTAGATTTTTTTGACAAGTGCAGTGTAGTACGTTATGAAAATTCTAAAATGGCCGCCACAAAAATCCATATTTTTAATGTTTAACCCCCAACTTACGAATAAACTGATTATAAACAAATTTTAGTACAATTATACTCAGATTATTCCTAAATTTAATTTTATACCGCGTTTATTTGTAAGGTTGTTACAGTGTAGAGTACGATACGCTATGAAATAATCCAAAACCGTCACTCGAGTACAATTGTCGTCTAGTCGAAATAAGTTCATCTATCGACCCCTGTGGACTACAATCTGAAGCCATTAGTGTAATGTGTCGGTACAGCACGTGACGTGACGGTCGGTTTACTGCGGCCAACACATCTCGTTGAGTATTCCACACGGCAAGCTCTCACGCGATCTCCGTTACTCTGATTGTTTTCGTGTGTGACCGACATTATCTCTGATTTTCCTCGAGACTGATTTAAGAAGTTCTATTGAGTCGAAGTTAGTGATTATCAAGTTACGAGCTGTTGTCGTGCGGCTTCCGCGTGAAATTATAAAAACTGAAAATAAAAATTTTATTGTTTACATTTGTCAAATGTCAAAATTCAAATGCACAAATGACAACGACGGCCTTTGACATTGGGTAAGAATTACTGTTACCATGGCAACCTTGCTTCCATAATATCGGCTTGAAGTTTATGGTCCCTTTCCCACATGAGGGTTGATTCCCCAATTTATTTATTAACTACGTTTAATAGTTTGAAAATATATAGTCTAAAGCGTGTCGTAAGTGTAGGTCTTTTTATTAAAGGAAGAATTATTCCAAAATATACTATGATTGCTGACATCCTACGCCTCGAAGAAGTGTGTTTATTTTTTTTTAGTACAGATGAAAAATTTGTATGTAGGAAGCCTTCGGAGAAGGAGGTTGGCCTCTAGAGTTCCGAGCTGCCGTCGCCCGCTTGCTGTCGCAGCACGCGCCCAGTGACAAGGAGGCGCCCCGTGCGCAGAACAAAAAAGGTAAACTCCTCCCACGTTGGTTCCACCCTTCTGTTTAGTTCTGCGTTTTCTTTCCTTCTGCGTAATATTTGAATCAGTTTCTGTGTGTTCTTGAATGCTATAATGACCCAAATTCAGTCAAAGCATTGCGGTATTTGGAATCATTAACAAATTAAATCGACTGAAGTAGTCTTTGGGTAGATTTTACTTTATAAATCTATTTAGTGGTAATTAAATAACTGATTAGTAACAATTCTGAGGATGGGTACATAAAGTAGAATTAAGATTCAATGTGGGTTGCAAAGGTAGAAGAAGACAGAAGAAAGTATGTATTGTGTGAGAGATATGCTTAAAAAGAGTGGATTCAGTTGTGGCTGACAGAGATGTATGGAGTATATACTGTGGGACCCTCTGTAGAAACAAGGAAAAGATGGTGAATGTAAGGAAAGTTGTATTTTTCTATGTGTAATGTGTTCTTTTTCTCTTTTTTTCTTTTTCTTTGTTCTTTTACATGTTATACGACGACACATAAACCAGAAAGTGTTAAGAATGAATTTGGATGGCTACAAAGGAAGAGGAAGACCGAAGAAAGTATGGATGGATTGTGTGAAAGAGGATATGCTTAAGAAAGGAGTGGTTTCAGATGTGACGGCTAAGAGAGATGTATGGAGCAGCACATACTGTGCCGACCCTCCATAAGGGATAAGGGCAAGTTGATGAATGTTTTATTCTACCAGGTCCGACTGGCCAGCGTTTAGACCAGTCGCTCTCGGAGACTATGGTCCTGGATCTGATTGTGCTCGTCGGATTTGTGGTTGTCGATAATCCACAATTACAGGTCAGTAATAATTACAACTTTATTTTAAGCCAGACATTTAATTATATAGACAAGGCAATGAACGAAATTCTGTTCACAGGCAACTTCTTTAAAAGGTACTATGTTGTTAAGTATTGTGCCAACTCATGTCGATGAATAGTTCTATCTTTTGCTATAAAAAAAACTTTTATCTAAAATAAGCATTTAAAAATTAATAATATAATATTTTGTGCAATTGCAAGGATCTACCAATAGATAGCGTTAGTAAGATTATGTGAAAAATGTTTTAATTGAAGCATCAACTATGCCTACTCTATATATTTTGAATCTCTTTGTGTTAAGCACTTAAAATCTGTAACATCGACATTGTTTCTTTGATTTTGACATCTTAAAACATAAACCAATTTGTTTCTTTACGATTTTATATGCTGTAACTTGTCTAAAATTATTTTTTAAAGAGTGCAGAATGGTGTAGGCACGTATACGTGCATTCTCACGGTTAGTGTAGTTTACGTTTACAATATATAAATGTCCTTTTGCAACGTTCGGACTTCGGTCAACTAAACTGTTTTAAAAAAATCCAATTTCCGTTGGACATCCGCAGTGAAGTTCTCATGCGGGCCACACCTGTGCTACACGTGTTTTTGAACGTAAATTCTACTAATACTTGGTTTCTGAAGTTCCTTTATTATCATATGTTAGCTTTTTATCTGTTTTGATGTACGTATTCTAAAAGGTTAGTCTGTGCTATATATAAAAAAATACCGTTTATCTTCTACCTAGCTCAGGAAGCAGAGCCCAATGATTATTGTTCAACTGATCGTGTTAATAAAGTGTTTTAATTTTATTTTTATCTTTATTTAAAATGATAATTTAAATCTTGTAATTGTGATCTAACCTTATTTAAATATTCATTTCATATTTTTAAAATGTAAGAATTCTATTTGTTAAGTTAATAATCGGACAGTAATTACATATAAAATTATTGTTTTAACTCGACTAGACGACGGTGAAACTAGCAGTGGCGTTGATTGTTGACACATGTATAAACGGTGTTATTGGTAAGGTTATTCTATACAAATTCGAAGATTACGTAAGAGCTAAAGAAGACTATATTTTAGTAAAGCATAATATGATTGTGGCCTATGTATAGTATAAGTATTCTTATTTTGTTACCTTTAGATTCATTAGTGTTAGGTTGATCCAAGTTTTAACGGAGTTAAAGTCAAGATACGTAATTCGGAAACCCAATTCAACCAACCAAATTACTAACGAGTGGTTAAACATAGCTGGGAATCCAACCTTTAATTTAATCATGCGTGCCGTAAATACTAAAAAAAGTACTGAAATGCAATAATTTGAATATAAAATAATGATTATTTAAAGATATTTTATGTGTTAAGTCTAATGCCATTTTTAAATGAATTGGTCAAATTTTGCCTACACTACTAGTTTTAAGTAAACAGTTCATCTACAGTTAAAACTTTTAGACCTGAGTATGTTTAGAAGACCTAGGGCCTCTCCCACCACTGGCTGATAAAGGCTCAGATAGCTTAAAATGACGTCACTATCAGATACGAGAACAAAATCCGATATTTCACATGTTTTACACGTTGGATTTTTATCAGACAATTTACAATTTGGTGGGATAGTTACTTAAATTAAATATTAAGTAAGTCTTAAAAATATGGTAGCAAGGAATTTTCCTCCTTTCTTAAGAGGTTCCCACGAGCACAGGTGTGTAGGGAAGTGTTTTAGGGTCGGTAACTTGTACGCGGGTTGTTTGACCATTACCATGAATAATTTATATTGTTTCCACTTTGTAATCAATTACTACAAGAACAGATGTGACTTTAATCTAAAAATGCCTTGTTTCGGAATTTTATGAAGCCAAGTTTGTAAAGTTTATATCATTGTAAATAATTTTTAATGTATTTTAAGAGAGTTTGTTAAAAGATGGTAGTTGATGCTTTAAATTGTATTCTTATCGTTTTATGCAAAATTTTGAACCCATAAGACGTAGTAAACGATGAAAAACGATCGAGCGGTTACCGAAATACCCAAATTTAGCTATGGTACCGCTTCCTATAGAAATACGCAATAGAATTGCGTTGCCTACCCTCGATCGACGGAGGAGATGCACATAAAGAGGATATTTCCCCTTCTTATTCGTCTTCACCGTCATTTCCGCGTACAGTCTGATGAGTGTGGTGCCGAAAGCCCAATTTTAGTCCTTTTCCTGTTCCACCCTCTTATAAGGAAAGGATTGAATGGGAACTTTCCCATGAGATTTGACGGTGGAGACGCATATGAAGGGGAAATATCCTCTTTATGTGCGTCTCCGTCGATTTAGAGTAGGCAACACAATGCCATTGCGGACGTCTATAGGCAATCGCTTCGCCATTTTGGCGGATTTAGGTGGCCTGCTCGTTTGCCACCTTATTATTATAGTTTGTTTCGGGATGTCCAGGAGACGATTTGTGACGGGTGGAGTGTGATCCGCACTCTTTGTACGTTGCCCGCCAACTGGCTGGTGTCGAGTCCGCACAGCCACGCGCTGCTGCCCACTTTGCTGGCGCTGGCGCAGAGACCGGCCACGGCGGCCGCCGTCGCTGCGGACTTCAGCACACACGTCAGTATCACAACTAATTCTACTTCTCTTCCTCATCATCACCAGTCCCCACTATACGTCACTATCACTATACGTCCCCAATGAGCTCGGAGCCTACCCTAAGTTACTGATAAGGCCTTAGTCAACCTGCACTGCGGGTTGACTTCACACATATCTTTGAATTGCTTCCCCAATATGTGCATCACGATGTTTTCCTTCATCGTAAGAACGTCGGTTAAATTATGTACATATGAAATTCGAAATATTAAAAATCACATCCGTGGGATTCGAACCAAAGACCTGTAGATTACAAGTCAAGTGCATGAACTACTGACCGACATAACTCTATCCGTCATCTTGGTCATCACTTCATGTTTCTTTCACGCAATTTTTAATTATACCTCTACCTACCGCACATAACTATAGTTCTTGTCTAACCTTTTACTCCTTAATTTCTCTACCATTAGGGCTACTCTCAAACTTCCTCTATACTCATTACGTATTTATCAATCGCAACTACACTCACCAATATAAAAAAGATAGGCTAATGTGGACCAATATGATATTCTGTAAATATTCCATTGGGCTGATGGTGATGTGATAATTGCTTCTAATAATAGACAGACAGACACGTGTTTTACGAAGCAAAAGCTGCTATTGTAAAACAATGGCCTATCTATTAATACAGATCGGTGAATAGAATACACCAAGAGTGTTGCCAGAGGGTCGTAGAAAAACGAAAAAATGTAAATAAGAATAAAATCAAATTAATATAAGCTGTCCTTGTCTATCGGCTGGCAACATCTATTTTACTCAAATTATTATGACCTTGAATTATTAAGTCGAAGTACAGTAAAACCTCGATAAGTTAAAGTCCAAGGGAAACACGAAATATTTTAAGTTATCAAGGGTCTATGTTGTAGAGGTTTTGGGCTCTGATGGGAAGGGAACATATTATTTTTAAGTTACCGAGGTTTGAGCTATCGAGGTTCTACTGTATTCCCAAATTTTATATGAAGGAAAGGGAGAAAAGGAAGGGAAAGGATGTAATAAAATCACTATATTATTGTAATTTCTTTATAAATGATTGATTTTCACAGATGCTTACCAACTTTATGGAAAGCGAGGACGCTCAGAAACTCAAATTGATACAAATTATCAAACAGTCACGGAACAGGAATAACGATACGAATAATTAACTTAAAGCTATATTCTGATATACATACTTATGTACTAATGTATAATATTGGATATAACGCTATTGCGATATTCACGATTTAATCACAATTTACTCGACTATGGTTTTAAAAACATTTGTTTTAACTGACAATTTGTACAATCGCGGAAATCTGTGGTGTTTCCTTTTCAGAATTATATTGTACTATACAAATTCTGTTTATTATAATAAAGGTAGCAATGAGTTTTGCAAACGATGGGATATTAAAAATCAATTAGCCGTGTTACTCCATCCTTTATCACGATACGTACTAAAACTGCTAAGATGGAACAGACAGATTCCCTGATTGTACTTTAAATGTATTCTTTAAATGAAAGAGGTTTTTGTTCGTGTTTCAATGGAAAATACTATATCCATGTCTTTGAAGCTTTCCATAGACATTCATAAAAGTATATCAAAATTCAAACTTTATGCCGGCTCGTTATCTGCGACCCAAAAATGTATCAAGTGAGGTTGTGTTGTTTATCTTTTTATCCCGCCGATAAAGGTACTAGTTATTTCTCGCGACTTTGTCCGTGTCAAATAAAAAATAGTATAAAACAGCCTATGTTACTAGTGAGTAATTATCTTATCAGTGGATAACGTTGCTTTTTAATGGTGCAAGAATTTTTGAATTCCGTACAGTGAATTTTGAATTAATACATTATTTATTTATTTATTTATTTAAAGGCACTCAGCATATGTGCATTACATGTAAAAATAAAAATCTTTGCTTTATAATATTATTATATATTTAAAACAGTCAATACAATCAAAGAGTTAAATTATGCCTTCCATGATATGGAAATAAATAAAATTTACAATTAATTTTGCACATACGTTTCTACAATAAATGAAATTAAGTAAATTAAATATATTTTTCCCAAATTGGTAGAAAATAAACTTGAGTCTCGTACGAAGTTCCGAGCTTGCGTAAAGTTTGGACACCACTATACATGCTATATGTTGATTGTTAGCGAATGTATCGTCGTTAGATTAGTTATTCGATGTAGTATTGAAATATACTATCGTTTTATTAATAGTCTTTTAGCTTTATTTCAAGGGATTTTGCAATTTAATGTTTTAATTTAGATATGTCAGATTATTTTAATTCCGATTTTAGATTATCTTACGCTTTGTGTTTAATCTGAAGAGAAAACTGTAGCAATTATATTAAAAAGTTTACTGTCGCAATGATTTTTGACTATCTATTCCTATTTAGATGCTAGACCGATGTCTAGAATATCTAAAACTTTAGTAAAAGCTTTTTGAAGGAAGGAAAAAGTTCTCAATTCTTTCGGTATCTATTTGGTACCTTTTAATTAAAAAGTATTCAGTAGTTTTTGAGTTTTTTAAGCGTATTAAAAGTCGATTTTTTTTTGGGTTTTCGTGTCCAGACTATTAACAAAACGATAACAAATGTGTAAAATAGTAAATGTAAGTCGATGTTCCCCGCCTTCTAGTAAACTGTCATCTAATTTCACTTACATCAAATTATTTTTCGTCGTAAAGAATTTATGATATTTATTTTTGGATAACTATTGGTTTATAATAAAAACTATTAGATTTCTTATTGATTTACTAAATCTTTGAGACTGAATGTTTCCTTAGTGTAGTGTCCTTCATCTGTCCAAATTTTATTGGAGTTTTCATCGTAAGTTTCTTGTAGTTTTTGATGTTGCTATACATTTTCTACGTAGTTTCTCGTAATGGAATTTATTTCAACTCGGACAACTGGGGATGACTGAATGAGATTGATGAAGGATTTGAACTCTAGACTCGATATTTCCGTTGTGAGAGTTGATATATATTTTTCGCTTTTTCATGTTTGTTTATTTTGAAAGGATTTTTTTTTGACGTCGAAATTTTAATTCGTATGGGATAAGATGCCTTGAGGTACGTTGATATACAGAAAGACTTAGGGCCACC